CCTACACCCTTCTCTACTACTTGATTCTCTGAAGAGACATAATGACATTAGTTATTTTCTTATCTTCAGTCCAAAAAAGCCTAAAAGTTGTTTTGCTAACGGCACCTAAACTGTCATTAAAGCTGAACTGAGGAAAAGAAGTGAAAAGTGGTGGAAACAGGGATATTTACATGCACTGAACCTCTTGTATTGACAACTGAATTGTATTGTTTCTGGAGTCCTCCACAGGGGAAAAAAGTCTATTTATGTATTTTAGCACTTACTTGTGTTGTATGTTTGACACAAGACAATCAACGTGAACTCAAATCATCCTGTTTCATTCAGACAAACAAGATTTATCTGCTCAGTACAGTTAGCCATTCAGACCACATTTAAGAAGTACTGCCAGGCAGGGGAATCTTACGTCCTGTCTCACTTCGGAGGGAATTCAAAGCCATGCAGCTCTATAACCTGCATGCAGAAGAGTTAGAGCCACAACCAAGTTCTCAATCTACTCAAAAAAATTTATCTCTGATAGTTCCTCCCAGATAATGGATGAAAGGAATTCTAAATTTTACTGAAGTTTTATGATCTATCTTAGCCTGCTGATGAAACATGGTCCACTTTATGTATTACAGCATTCAACCATTAAAAAGGATGCTTACCAAGTAAAAACACATGAACTAGCAAACTGTAAATTTTAAAAAATATTTCTTAGTATGTTTTTACATTATGGTGGTTTCTTCAAGGTGTAAAACTGTATCTGTAATTAATAGCCAGAAACAGGTTTCCTCGGTTTTAGTTACCCCACATGTTTAAATACACTGTATTGAACTAAAGATCCATCTTACTCAATACCCTATTTCGGACAAAGGTTAACCACAAATATCCAGGAAGATGAAACATAGTAGGCAGTACAGCGATACCTCCCTACAATGTTCCACCAGTCTCTACGACAGCTTGAAGCACAGATTAAGCCACAGCGCTGCCTTTTATACAAAACAGACTTACTGGATTTTACTTCATGCATTTGTCCTATCCCTTTTTCTTAGAGCATGTATGCTTTTAGTACCTGCATCATTACCTACTGACAAGGATTTTACAGCTCAGTTAAACACTAAGGAAAGAGTTACGTGTCTTTCATATAAGATTGATGGACAAAAGACGTCTATTTTAAAAACTTCTTCTACTACACTGTATGTTTACTGAATGCATGTTTCGTATACCAACTATTAGCCTGAAAGGCTCAATAAGTCCTAAGTGAAAATCATAAACCTTACAATCAATAATGTATAATTCGTATGTTTCAGTCCAGTGTGACATTAAAAGGCCTTGTTATGCCATGCTACTACTCTACTTACATATGAAGTTACTAATTGTGACCAGAACAGTAAATGATGTAATGATGGCATATTTGGAGTAGATCAGAGTAGACCAAGTCAAAAGGACTGATTCTCCTGAACGTTCCAGTTTTTCCATATAAGAGGGATAATGTTCATTGGTCATCCTAGGTTTTGGCATTTTCAAAGAATTTTCTCACTGTAAAAAAATATACTATAGTAAAAAAATGTGGTGGGATTTTTGGTGGGGTTTGGGTTTTTTTGTTGTTGTTGTTGGGTTTGGGATTTTTTTTCCTCTGTGTGTGGCTTGTTTTGGGTTGTGGTTTTTCGGGGCTTTTTTTGGGTTTGGGTTTGTTTTTTGTGTTTGTTTCTTTTTTTTTTCCAATTAAGGCAATGTCATTCAAACTTCTACCACAACTAAGAACTTTTGCCTTGTGAAATTCACTCAGGCTTACACATACTTTCTTTTTAAAAGAGTTGCCAAATTTAAATCCACAGAATTTTTATAAAGACTGATAGAGACATAAATGGCCCATCTTCAAAAGTATCAGCTGATGAAGTTATAGCAGGTAAGATTTCATTCAGCTGCAGTGGTGTCTGTCTGATAAAGGACCTTGGCAACTGAAAGGCCTACAAACATACATTACAAATACTGCCAACTACCTGGTCTGTTTTAAGGATACAACACCACTATATTGAGTTTTCAGGTGCAACAGCAATGGGAAATTAATATTGTTGTATGGGTCTCAGGTAGATATGCAAGCCATACAATAGGCCCTTATGAAAAAGAAAAATAGGGACCTTTAATTTCAACCATTTATGTTAAAACTTTATGTGAGATGCTACATTTGCGTGACAATTCAAAACAGCATCACCACTGTTGAGAAAACGTCAGCATTTTGTGTTAAAAATTTAGAAGTGGTTCAGTTCTTCATGTTACAAGTTGCTGCATCCTTGGTAGGTCTCAAGCTGATCAACACAGTGAAAGAAACACAAAGAACTCTAATGTGAGATTGTTAGAGGAAATAACATTTTGCAGTTGGACAAAGAACTAGAACTGGGTAGATCAGAGTTACATTTCCTGCTATGCCACAAATTCCTGCATTAACTCAAGCAAATAATTTAATCTATCTGGCCTTAATTCAAGTAACAGCAATTCAAGGTCTTTGGCGTCTCATTCATCATACTACGTGAAGAACTTCAGCAG